ATTTTGTGTATTTGGTGTAATGAAATGTGTTTATGCGGTTTAAGGTTAAAAAAACACATTATTTTACACATTGCATCGCGCCGCATAAACATAAAACCATGTCTGCATTTGTGATCGGAGAAATGACAAACAACAAGCGCTTTTCTACACTGCTCAAAACTCTTGTTTTGAATCATCAGTGGCAAATCCTTTAAATATGAAAAACGTACTTATAGTCTGTGAGTCAGAACAGCCGGCATTATAGTCTACTCTCCCAGGATCAGGAAACAGTCCTCCATATTTGGGTTAAACTGTTCTGGAACAGTGTTGTAAATAAATACAACTTAACCACTGATTTCTAGTCGTGTCCTCTTTTGGAAGACCAAACAAAGTAGTTTCGCTTTCACAACGAAACACAGCGTCACACACGGCGGGCTAGAGTGAGCGGTGGCAGGCGGGCTTGAGAACAGCGCAGCCAGCAGGAATTCGGGAACCACATGTGACGACCCCGGGCTGGACGGTGAAAGCCGATCCGGTGGTCCACAGCGCGAAGTTGATGTATTTCCTCAGTGACCAGCACGGATCAGCTCCAGGCATGACGAAGCGGATATCGTCCTCTTTTGGAAGACCAAACAAAGTAGTTTTGCTTTCACAACGAATCACAGCCCCTTCACGACATGGCAGCGGCGGCAACAACAATACTACAGCGAGAATAAAAGTTCCGCCTTCTGTCTTTGCGTGAACATTTGGGCGGCGTTATGCAAATCTTCCCACATAGTGATGTAGACATGTGGGGGCGTGTTAGAACGAGCCGTTTTAAAGAAAGGAAAAATTAAAATCGTATCATATGACCCTCCTTAAAAAGCTTTACCGCTACAGAAAATAATAGTTTTGGGATATTTCATTAAATGATGTACGCTCACATGAGATGAAGACACATTTCAGTTTTCTAGATAATGCTCTTTTGTTTACACCGAGTGGGTCGCCCCATTCAAGGGCTCCTCCATGTTGTAAAATCACCATCATCATCATCATCATAAAAGGTAATTGTGATCTGTCTTTGCGTGAACATTTGGGCGGCGTTATGCAAATCTTCCCACATAGTGATGTAGACATGTGGGGGCGTGTTAGAACGAGCCGTTTTAGGTAGGCGTGGCTGACTCTTAACTTTTATAAAGAATATCTCTTTGGATTTGAGACTTTAGTCTTTGCAACTTTACAGATCTTCTTTATGCACCAAGAGCTTGTAACACTCCAAAGAGAAAGGAAAAATTAAAATCGCATCATATGACCCTCCTTAAAAAGCTTTACCGCTACAGAAAATAATAGTTTTGGGATATTTCATTAAATGATGTACGCTCACATGAGATGAAGACACATTTCAGTTTTCTAGATAATGCTCTTTTGTTTACACCGAGTGGGTCGCCCCATTCAAGGGCTCCTCCATGTTGTAAAATCACCATCATCATCATCATCATAAAAGGTAATTGTGACTTGCAGCACTTACAGTAAGTTCACTGTGTAAACTGTTTTGTTTACACAGAGTGGGTCGCCCTTGTGAGGGCTCCTCCATGTTGTATGGAGGCCCGTTTCTGTTCAAGTTCAGGTTCAAGTCTGCTTTATTGTCAATTCTTCCACATGTACAGGACATACACAGAGAATTGAAATTGCGTTACTCTCAGACCCTTGGGTGCATACAGATAACATAAATACAGATTAAATACAAAATACAACTATACAAATATACAAATAAGGTCAAATGTAAAAAAGATATATATAAAGCACAAGGCATATGGCAGATAGAGTGCAAACCAGTAAAGTAAACAACAGTGCAGAAATAGTGATTGTAGTGCAAAAAATGATTTGTAGTGCAAAAGAGCTTATTCAGACAGAATCTTATTCATCATCATCATCATCATCAAAATAAAAGGTAATTGTGACTTTGTTTTTCGCAATTCAAAGAACAAAGTCATAATTGCAAGAAATTAACACAGAATTTCAAGATATAAATTCGCAATTCTGAGAAAAAAGTCAGTCTCAGAATTCAAACTCAAAGTTCTGACTTTGCACTACAGAACAGAAATGAAAAGGTAGCTAATTGTGGCCTTTTGGCCCGGTTTCACAGACTTGGACTAAACCAGGATTAGGCCATAGTTCAATTAGGACATTTAAGTAATTTTTATTAACATACCTTAGAAAAAAACATTACTGGTGTGCATCTTGAGACAAAACAAAGGCACTGATATGTTTTAAGATCAATCAGTGCAAGTTTCTTTCAGTTGAAACAGCTCAGATTTACATTTAATCTGGGACTAGGTTTAAGCCTTGTCCATGAAACCGGGGGTTTATCTCACAATTTTACAATTTATATCTCACAATTCAGACTTTTTTTCACACAATTGTGAGTTTACATATTACAATCAAGGGGCCTGTTTCATAAAACAAGTTTACCAAATAAGCCAGGTTTATTTCAGTTAGTCTGACTTATTGTCAGTTGATTTGGTTCAAAATAAATCAGACTAACTGAAATAAGCCTGGCTTATTTGGTAAACATGTTTTATGGAATAGGCCCCAGAACTTGTGAGGGGGAAAAAAGTCTGAAATGTGAGTTATAAATTAAGAATTGTGAGGGGAAAATGACACAATTACTTTTTTTATTCTATGGCATAAGCTTCTATAATGTTAACTGAACATAAACAGTTAAGTGTGCTTGCTTATGAAGCTACTAGTATTGTGTTATTTTACTCAAAAATATGATGTATGCTTATAAAAGTAATCAATAGACTGATCAATAGCTTGATATTTCCAATACTGGATGTCTTATATAGACTGAGTCCTCCATTGGGCAGTACCGGTGCTTTCCATTGGATTGTACCAGTGAACTTACTGTTAAGTGAACCAATGAACTTTGTGTGATTTCCACCATATGGCAGGTACAACTCAAATAAGTTTGATGTATGTCCCATGTGAACACTTCCAACCAATAGGAGACGGCGAAATAAAAGTTATATTAAAAAAGGCTGATCTGGCCATATTAATTAATTGTGGACTCAGATGCGGGCACTGTCATCTTGGCTTTGTACAATAAAGTCTTATTTTGACATCTGCATCTCAAGCTTCATTGACTTCATAGAGAAGACCATTGCTTTCTCCACGACACTAGTTTTATGCCTAGATGTTTATTCATGTGCCATACTGTATATACTCATGCAGTGGTTTGGGGTAAATTGCATCCTGTATATATTACAGTAATATTGGACAATTTTTGCACTGTGGCTAGCACAACCACACTTTGTTCAGATCAATAAATGAAAAAAACTGCATGATGACCCAGCTTGTAAAAATAGTCGTACATCATGTCCCAAAATTACCTTAATTCCCTCTCTTTATAGTTTTCTGGTGAAAAAACCCCCCTCAAACTCGTGATGGAATCTGTTGTGAAGATTAAGTGAGGGAGAGTCACATGTCGCTGAGGGGATAGAAATAGCTGCAGTCTCTGTCAAAACAGTTTATTGCATTTCTCTTCATATTGTCCACTCTAAGTAAACAGCCCTCACTGCCATATACACTCATGATGAGGGTGTGTGAGGACAGTGTGAACAGCTGGAGACTGTGAACAGTTATCTTGGTAAACAAGCAGCCAAGTCACTCAGATCAGTCAAAGTTAACCAATGTCCTTAAGTGTTTTGCTGGCATAACTGGAACTAAAGCTTATGAAATGTGCTTTTATTATGCAATATTAAAAAAGATATCATGCAGATTTGTGCACATAGTTGAAATGTGCCTTAAGTTATTTTGTGTTGATAAATCATATGAGCTTTTCTCACATTTGCTCAGGTTTCTTATGACAGTGGTTCCCAACCCTGGTCCTGGAGGCACCCCAACACTGCACGTTTTGCATGTCTCCTTTCTCTGACACACCAGTTTGAGGTCTTGGTGTCTCTACTAATGAGCTGATGACCTGAATCAGGTGTGTTTGATTAAGGAGACATGCAAAACGTGCAGTGTTGGGGTGCCTCCAGGACCAGGGTTCGGAACCACTGTTTTAGGAAACGTGAAATGGTTGATCCCCCAGTTATCCACTTCATTCAGTCCTTCAAATATGTTTTAATTACATCAATCAACAAACAAGCTTACAGGTTCAATTTAAAATGTCGACATTCATTTTAAAACACTTCTGAAAATATGGTCTCTATTCGTCAGGAGTTAAAAATGGTACACTACAGTGTTATATTTAGTACTTCAAGCACAGGGAAAAAAAGACATGGAAACAAGAAAATGGATTTCTGTGTGAGGTGGTGTATGAAAATACATTTTGTGGAAATTTGCTTTGACAGTTTCAGACAGGCGAAGGAGAGATTGCGGGGGAGCTAGAGTTGATCCTAATCCCCCTAAAATCACATTATTATTTTTTTATTCAATTTTACAGTACGTCATGTGAGACAGTAGAAAGGAAATTTTGGGACGTGGTTCAGGATGTGACAGGCCAGATATGAATCTACATGCCTGTGAGAATGTGCACTAACTGGTTTGCTATGACTCCAGAAAAATATTCTTATTCTAACAAATAGAATCCATAGCAATGAATACACAAATACATACTGACATATTTTTATCGGAATATATCAGTTATATCAAAATGGGTCCAATAACCAGACTCCAATAACTGGACCGAACAATTTGGCAAAGGGGTTTTTAACTTGACATTTTTTATATTTGTCCTAAAAAATATATATTTGGTTAAACATGGGTCTAGTGTGTCTTGATACACAGCTGAATGAAAAACAGAATCTACCAGACACTGAAAGAAGAAATACACTTTAAATAAACCTTGAATAGAAGTCGATCTATGGAAACTCAGTTTTTCAGCATCTGTCCTGTATTTCCTGTTTTCAAGGAAGCATAGGTCAAAGAGCTTCAGCAGATATCGAGACTAGGTCATGATATTTCTGTTGAAGTCATATGACAGTCTTCTCTTAGCATTTGCAGCTAATTGCTGGTTGGACGTTGGGAGATTTGGAGAAAACCTGGCACTGGTCTTCAGTCGAACTGTCGCACATTCCTGAGGTGGAAAGGATGATGGTTATTTAAAACATGCACTTAACTGGTGTTTCCAGTACCAAGCTCTATGTATGGTCAATGTAGAGTATAGAAATCCATTTGCTATTTCAAATAATATTACAAGTGTTTGATGTAGCAAACGCTCACCAGGAAGTTTTCATTATATATTATTGCAGTGGTTTAATATTTCATTACAGCAGACTCACAGAGCTGGGACGTTGCAAATGCAGTGACTGAAGGAGAAGTTTACAGGACAGAGACTCCGCCCTCTTATATTTCACACCAATCATCCGGTCTAGATCCTGGAGGCCATCAAGTAAGCTCTGCTCCCTTTGGGCCAAAGCAAAATGATTAACTCGAAATTTTATAGCATGTAACGAGAAAAACAAATACCATTATTGTACGTGAAATTATGAAAGAAAGATTTGTTTGTACATTTTGAGTCATCTCAAGAGGATGAAATACAGAATTTCATGCAAAACATTCAGTTCTTTGTGCTTTGTGTGATGAGATGCAGTAGCATTTTCTGTTACCACAAGGTGGCGATAGAAGACTAATATATATGTCAGGGGTTTTCAAACTGTTCCTAGTCTTCCCAGCATTCCACCTTTTGGATGTTTTCCTTATTAGCTGACAAGTGTTAAATAAGGGAGGCATCCAAAATGCGCATTCATTTGGAGGCTCTAGGAATGGCCTGAAAACCCCTGAAGTATGTCTTTAAATAAAAAGTTTCTCAAAATGCATAAACATAACTAACTTTATAAGTCATAATTAGTGCAGCAAAACTACAGATAATACAACATACTTGTGCTCCCCTGTATTGCTGTTTTCAGCTGGTCCTTGCAGAAGCTGCTTTAGTGTAGGAATGTATTCAGGATCTTCACAGGGGGACATTTCTGAGGGAAAGGCCTCTAGAAACACATTTGACTACACACACAAACACATGTACAAGTAAGGATCACTAATCATCAGAGCATCAACAGTGATGAATAGATGTTTTAGTTACTCATATGTAAAGTTACAACATTTTAGAATTTAAAGATATATTAGTATGATATTATAAAATTAGTCGTTAATTAGTTTGTGGAGGATGAGTGGGTCATTACGTGATTGTATAAAATGGAATATTTCGCCTTTTTCTGGCCGATTCTGTAGTATGATGAATGATTAACTCTATAATTGATTTTCTATTCATATCACAGGGTCTCTGTTATCTCACATACTTTAATAATTTGTTAAGTAGTGTAATAATAAGTGGAATGATGCACATTCATTAGGTCAAGATTAGGACACCAACATAACAAAGCATAAACCTTTACCACATTATGGAGAGGAGAGAGAGGAAGGTTTGGTTTTTCAGTAGAAAGCCACCAATGGCCACCAGGCACTATCTTCTGCTCCACAGTCTCCTGGCTGAAGGCAGTCCATGTGCTCTCTGACTGCTGGAATGACTGGACTGCAGTCCAATCAGATGCCCAGGATGCGGGTTCATTTGCATCAACAGAACTTGTGTGTTCCTCTGAGAGGAGATAAAGGCTCATTTAAGTCTTTATAGTTTCATTTTCAAGGCTCTCATACAAAAACTCTTTACAAGACCAGAAGGCTCTATGTTACTGGAAAGATGTTCTGCTTTCTGCGGTGGAAAGGTTTCACACAATGTAGAACGTGTAATAATTTACAAGTGGTGAAAGTGTTTAACCAAACTTCAGTTCTCTGTTTATGTAAAAAAAAGTCTAATGTGGTATTTATAGACCATGGTGGGAAGGTACAACATAGGCTTATAAGAAAAATGTGCCTTTACCTATATTTTTGCAAAACTTAAAAAAACTTACCCATACATTCAATTCACTAGAGCAGTAAAACACCAATAATTTATATTCCTTTTCACACAAATTATGATTACTGGGCCAGATTATTAATTAATAAAGACTTATTTTTGTGCGGCTTCTTGTGATTACCTCAGAACATTTTTACCATAGTGCATGATTTGTAAATTAATTAACTTGCTTCATATGTATAGTTGTGCTTTCAAATCGATTAATTGCGATTAATCGCATCCAAAATAAAAGTTTGTGTTTACATGACGTGTGTACTGTGTATATTTATAGTTTTTCTTAAATATATACATGTATGTGTGAGTATTTATATATACATATAAATATACACAGCACACACACATATATTATGTAAACAAACTTCGATTAATCGATTTGACCGCACTATGATTTTTCTGACAAAGTAAACTTGCTCGGTAGCTCACCTGGTATAGCATTAGACTTGTGATGTGGAACACTGAGGAATGTGGAAAAACTCAAAGACTGAAAAAGCTGAAATGGCTTGCTTCAGCAAATGTGTTTTATCGGGTGTTTGCTTTTGTTAACACTGTAAAGTTTAGTGTAGTTGGTACATTATTAAGGCATTAGAGCACCACTCACCAGACACTTAGTTTCCAATCTGCCACAATATATACAACAACCAACATAATAAAACATTACCAGATTCATGTTCATCTTTTCGGATAAAAATGAACTCACTTTTACCACCACTCTCTGGATATTTCACTTTAAAATGCATCATGAAATGTGCAAGAAGCAATGTAATATGATTTTGAAGAAATGTCTCAACAGGAAAACAGTGAATGTGTGTTAAATGGCTTCTAGAAATAACTTGTCATTTTAAATATCTACTTGTGTGATGCAATTTCAGAATTAAAAAGTAGGTTAAACCTGTTTATGCTCACTATTGGAATCACCAGGTTTTCACCTTTTTAGAGAACAGGATTAATCCTGCAGATTAAAATTACACAGTGGCTGCCAAAAATGGAATTGAATCCATAAAATTATTAAGTGGAAAGTGTTTGTGGTTACACTTTATTTTAAGGTGTCCTTGTTACAGTAATAATTACACATTTAAGTACTAAGTAATATTAATTAACTACATGTACATATATGGTTAGGATTAGGGTTTACGTGCACGTAATTATGCATAATTTATTGTTATTCTAATAGTAAGTACATGCAACATGTGTAATAAGGACACCTTAAAATAAAGTGTTACCGTGTTTGTTTTTGACCAAAGATTATAGTTAGAAGACGTACTAGATGAATAAACAATGAAGTGTTTGTCCTCTATTTTGATCAAGCCATTCCCTCTAGACATGCTGCCTTTGGCATTGTGAAGGTTGGCCTCCCCTCTTGTCCCAATGGCCTTGTGTTTGCATGTCATTTTAATGCTGCCTCCTGCCTTAGGCTGGTACACAGCAACAGAGGAAGAGTGAGGGGTTGGGGGGTAGGAATTCCAAGCAGTGCTTTAAATAATTAATATCTTCACATGAGGTCGGGGGAAGCGAGGGGGTCTGCAGGAATCCAGGTCAATCCAGCCAGACTATTTAGTACATTGGGACTGCATGTTATCTGCTCACTCAAACCCAAACAACGCCAGGTTCCTTCTCCAGAAGAGAACTTACTGTACCTTAGGACTTATGTGACAAAATGTATTACCTTGCTACTTTCAAGACAGCGTACTTACCACAGTTGTAATCCTCAGCCAACTGTTGGACCTCACTGAACCCATCCGTCCACAGCTGCTCTCCTCCTGCCTGCATGAATGCCCCAAACTCCTCCTCCTCCTCCTCGCCCACATCAAGAGACCCCTCGTCAGCGGCCACCTTGTCCTTGTCGTCAACTCTTGCCGGCTCTGATAGCAACTCTGAGTTCACCAGAGGCAGCAAGTCTCCACCTCTAGCCTCCGCCTCGCTTAATGCCGGGATGGCTGTTGCTATGGCTGCGGTGGTGGTAGGGGCAGGATTAACCAGGGAGTGAATCGTGGTTACAGTTATATTGGCGGTTGTTGCGCTAAAGCCTCGTGAAGAGGATTTGTCAGACTGCTGAACTTCATGTTCTCCATGCTCTGTGATTAATTCCTCCCAATGCTGAGGTGAGCACATGGACGGCCTCCTTTTCTTTTCTGTAGTGCTACATTCAGCACCCACTGGAGTGCGGCCCTCCGGCAAAACTGTATTCTTTGTGTCTGGAGTCCCATCTCTCTGTGTTGCAAGATCGCCGGGCTCCACCGAGTGTAGATTCTCACGGTCTACTAGGCGCTCGTCTGGCCTGGATTCTTGATTCTTCTGAATGCTGATAGGGACTTCTGAGGGAGTTATCATGGGAGAATGATCCATGCTTGGCTCAGTATTACAGTTTGTTGTGGTCAGTTTGATCCTTAGACTATCAGAGTGAGTCTCAGATGCCACAGATGACCCTAGGTTAGGCACATCAGCAACAAAGTTCTGGCGATCATTTGCATCAAGGTCACATTTACTGACCTCAGTGTCTCCTTGCACATTGGCACAACTGAATTCTTTTTCAGAACAGTTATCGGATTGATTAAGGCTCATTTCATCTTCAACCTGCTCACCTGGTTTGGCAGAAGAGCAGCAGGTTTGTGGATCTGTGCTCTCGGGTGTGACAGCTTTCACTAATATGGGGGAATGAGCCCTTTTGTCTTTGCCCTTCAACTTCAAGTCGTCCCGACTTGGATTGCTACCCGTCTGGCCTTGTGTTATGTTAAGTGGTTGTGCATCTGAAATCACTGCATTTTTTTGGTCACTGCGCTGACTAGTGTTTTCCCCTTTGCCGTGAGCCGCTGTTCTTTTCTCCATTGTTTTACCGCATTTCCTCCATTTTCGTATGGCCCTGGGCTTGGCCTTGAACAATCCACCATCATCTGGCCCATCCTGGCTCACCTTCTTCCCTTTAGAGGAACATCTAAGCTCTTCCTTTGTCCCCTCAAGAATGACAGCGTGAGTCCGTGGAGCCGTGACTCTCGTCCCAGTCCCGCGGTTTCCAACAGCACAGATGTAGCTGCCCCTGCCCTGGGCCTTGAGAAAGAGGCAGCGTGTCTGAGTCTGCCTACCACCCCCCTCAGTGCCCTTCAAAGTGGCCACAGTAACAAGAGCGCCAAGACCGCCTTGCCTGACCCCTGGAGTTCTGGTTGCACTAATTGTGCTCTCCATTGTGTGCCCATAGCCACTGCTGACCTGACCTGACCAGCTTCTCTGCCCTAGCCTGTTTTCAGGAGGCTGTTGGCATGTGCCCTGTGCCCGAGATCCATTAGCGGCCTTTCTTCTGGCTTTCGAGTAGCCGCCACTCACAGCCCATGCTCTCAGGCCTTTAATCAGGGGTATGGCACCAAACTCAAGGGCACTGGCGAATGAGACATTGGTTCTTCGGCATTCATGCAGTAGCTCCCTATGGGCCATGTCCAAGCAGTTATTGTTGTTGTTCTGTTGCAGCATTCTTCTTGGGGGAATAATATCAGATGCTGTGGTGGGTAAGAATGACATTTAGGATGTCAAAAACTTGAAATTCTTCTGTTACAGCACAACATTTAGCAATCAGTTAAGGAAGGCAAATTGCATATATCTTGATTTAATGATGATTTAAGTTCAATACCTGACAATTAATGGTCAACGTACAAGTGCAGGCTCAAATTTTAGTTTAGGTCTTTGCAAATTGTCTTCAGATAAAATATCCAGTAAAATAATCCAGTTAATCAATTTAATCCATTCATTTTAAATTCTCTCTCTCTCTCTCTCTCACACACACACACACATAATTTTCTTGGAATACTTAAAACTGTAATATGTACTGTAACATTTTTTTTTTAAAAACTGTAATACAACTTGTATACAATTGTTTACTGCAGTTTTGTAATTTGTATTCTTGACAATTAAAAGTCAATACAAAACAAGTGCAGGCTCAAATATTTGTTTAGGTCATGGCAAATTGTCTTAGATTTGAGTTAATATTCTATACACTATATAATCTATAATGTCTATACACACACACAAACCGTGTAATATACTACAACATGTATATATACTACAATTACTTTATATTCTATATACTACAATATATACTGTATACACTACAGTTACTATATATACTATAATTTTGTAGTTTGTATTTTTATGTAGTTTAATGTATATCATAATTATATACATACTGTAATAACTATGAAATATAATAATGTTAAATAAAATAAATATTCAGTATTTATTATGCCTGGGCTTGGCCTTGAACAATCCACCATCATCTGGCCCATCCTGGCTCACCTTCTTCCCTTTAGAGGAACATCTAAGCTCTTCCTTTGTCCCCTCAAGAATGACAGCGTGAGTCCGTGGAGCCGTGACTCTCGTCCCAGTCCCGCGGTTTCCAACAGCACAGATGTAGCTGCCCCTGCCCTGGGCCTTGAGAAAGAGGCAGCGTGTCTGAGTCTGCCTACCACCCCCCTCAGTGCCCTTCAAAGTGGCCACAGTAACAAGAGCGCCAAGACCGCCTTGCCTGACCCCTGGAGTTCTGGTTGCACTAATTGTGCTCTCCATTGTGTGCCCATAGCCACTGCTGACCTGACCTGACCAGCTTCTCTGCCCTAGCCTGTTTTCAGGAGGCTGTTGGCATGTGCCCTGTGCCCGAGATCCATTAGCGGCCTTTCTTCTGGCTTTCGAGTAGCCGCCACTCACAGCCCATGCTCTCAGGCCTTTAATCAGGGGTATGGCACCAAACTCAAGGGCACTGGCGAATGAGACATTGGTTCTTCGGCATTCATGCAGTAGCTCCCTATGGGCCATGTCCAAGCAGTTATTGTTGTTGTTCTGTTGCAGCATTCTTCTTGGGGGAATAATATCAGATGCTGTGGTGGGTAAGAATGACATTTAGGATGTCAAAAACTTGAAATTCTTCTGTTACAGCACAACATTTAGCAATCAGTTAAGGAAGGCAAATTGCATATATCTTGATTTAATGATGATTTAAGTTCAATACCTGACAATTAATGGTCAACGTACAAGTGCAGGCTCAAATTTTAGTTTAGGTCTTTGCAAATTGTCTTCAGATAAAATATCCAGTAAAATAATCCAGTTAATCAATTTAATCCATTCATTTTAAATTCTCTCTCTCTCTCTCTCTCTCACACACACACACACACACACATAATTTTCTTGGAATACTTAAAACTGTAATATGTACTGTAACATTTAAAAAAAAAAACTGTAATACAACTTGTATACAATTGTTTACTGCAGTTTTGTAATTTGTATTCTTGACAATTAAAAGTCAATACAAAACAAGTGCAGGCTCAAATATTTGTTTAGGTCATGGCAAATTGTCTTAGATTTGAGTTAATATTCTATACACTATATAATCTATAATGTCTATACACACACACAAACCGTGTAATATACTACAACATGTATATATACTACAATTACTTTATATTCTATATACTACAATATATACTGTATACACTACAGTTACTATATATACTATAATTTTGTAGTTTGTATTTTTATGTAGTTTAATGTATATCATAATTATATACATACTGTAATAACTATGAAATATAATAATGTTAAATAAAATAAATATTCAGTATTTATTATGCAATTCTATTGTTATACTCTTAGTTTTTAAAACTCTATTAAAAATGGATACTGTCATGTCAAACCACGAAAAGACTATTTCTAGGCTACTTAATACAATTATTCCTGTATTTTATGTAATGTAGTTATTATAACTGTATTACATTTATAATGTATGTACATGATTGTTTTATTTGATAATATGATTGTTTTATTAAGAGCTAGTGTATTTAATACTTAAGTTACTGTATAATGTATCATTAATGTATAATAATTTTTATTTCGCATGTCACAAACTGTGTCATGATGATCAGAGGACGCTGCGTTACGTAGTCTCCACACACAATACGTGATCACATCACTTGCACCAAATCGGGAGTCTTATCTTTAACTAATAGGACTTGCCCACATGAGGTAACCTCGGGGAGGGGGGATTATCTGCATCGATTCTTTTCGTGGTTTGACAAGATAATATCCATCTTTTTCGGGATATCATAAATAACCCATCTTTCTTTCTTTGTATCCTCTTACCTTTACAGTGTGCCTGTCATTTTCCTCATTCGGATGCGATGTCACGAATCACACGATTCCAGCTGTCGTGCGTTGTGAAGATGCTGCTGAGCTGAGGGATTTTGGCTTTAACCTTCATGAGGATTTTGGACCGTCTAGAAATGATGATTTCCATGACACCACTTCGTTTTAACTAAGACAGCATATCCGAATACAGACCACCAACCTATTATATCCCATGTACGTCTCGTGTGCTCCGTTGAAGTGAATGTCACGCTACTCCTCCGTGTCTCCTCCTCATAGCGCAGGCTGCTTTCACTGGCAAGGCAACGCAGAGCCTCCGCAATCTAGCGCGTGCGCTCAGCTGACCAATAGCGGAGCGTGCAGCACGCTGTCGGTGCTTTTACGCTTACGCACGAAGAGGACACGCACACGCGGGAACACATTACCTCATTAAAGCTTTTCATTTAGTTCTTCAGCCAGTTCTGGTGAGTATAGGCTACTTTTGAAACCCTCTTGCACTCACTCTTTTGCTAGACTTCGTTTAGCCATAATTGGTAGAAACTCAATGTAAAGATAGCCTACTTTTGTGTTAATAACATGGCGGTCTATGTTTACAGTAAGCACTTAAATTCTAATCGGAATCTTTCATGTGCAAACTATTTTAGTTTAATTTTTGTCCAATACATAGTTCACAGAAAATGAAAATTGTCATCATTTACTCACCCTTGTGTTGTTCCAAACCTGCCTATGACTTTATTTCCACAGACAAGGAATGGACTCTTTTATGACACTTTAATTGTGCTTTTATGGTGTTTTTGTGTTTTGTCGTAGACTTGAAGGCTCCAGCCTCCTTTCTTTGTAATTACTTGGACAAATACAACCAATACATTCTTCAAAATGTCTGTTTTCATTGTGAGAAAGTAAATAAGGGTTTGGAATAACATGTGGATGAGTAAATTATGATCAAATTTCTTTTTAATGTTTGTACAAGTTTCATCTGGATGTAGTTTTCATCAATCGTTAAACATTTTAGATATGTTCAATACTGTATATTGCAATCTTGGGGAAGGCTGTCTGCTGCTGTTTGTACATTTTTCTTGCCATGTCAGTTTCAGACTCGGACCACTACTCGTCATTAGTGCTGCCACATTAGAAAAATCAGTGGAAAACGTCAGGAAATAATTATGTACAACTAATTAGAATGTTAATATTTTATTTGACTGTTCTATTTTTGCATTAGATGGAGATAAGCATCATCTAAAGGATTGTTTCAAAAAAAGCAACACATTACAAACATGCAGTTCTTTAATTAAACCTGTCTTAAATATAATACATATACAATGATATTGCTCGCAGGTAGGCCAATTCCATCACCAACGCAAGAGTTAATTTTAAAAAGAAAAGAAAAGAAAAACATGTCACACTCAGTGTTTTCAATTCATAAGAATTCTGAGCATTTCTTCTGAACAGAGAGATGCTATCTGGTACAGCACGTCACAATCCTTAAAAATTGTGAATGAAAAAAAACTTCATATTGTTTAAATGTATCTTAAAAGTCACAAAAATACTCTACATTACAGGCTTTCTTTTTAGTTTCTTATCTGTACAGATCATGCATATAAATATGTAAAAATAGTACATGTATTTCTAATAGTATCTAAAATAAACAAAATTCCATAACAACAACCGAAAACTACAGAGACAAACCAGGCATCGAAAAAACCAAAGCAATATTACCAAAATACTGTAATTCTACAGCATAAATGTCATGCAAGACTGCACAAGAAAATCATAAGAAAATGTAATGTTTTTTTAAATATCTTTGCATCTGTCTATGTTCTACAGATTTGTGCCTATGTTGTTTTTTTTATCTACAATTAAATATTTGTGTGTAAATATCATGTGATCTTTACAAATATATCAATTTAAAGTGTCATACAGAATGGCAAGTTACAAAACATGAAAATAATGACTAAAATAAATAATATTCTTTTTGTAGCAACATTTTCATTATGTATAAGTTGCAAAATCTGGAGAAAATATGTTTGCTTTCTTTACTTTAAATAGAATAAAACCTGCAAGACTGAAACAATTGGCACATACAAATATGTGGGCCTAATTATTATTCCACTTCCGATTATATGTCACAGTTCTTTAACTGAGATTGTTTTCATCAATCGTTAAACATTTTAGATATGTTCAATACTGTATATTGCAATCTTGGGGAAGGCTGTCTGCTGCTGTTTGTACATTTTTCTTGCCATGTCAGTTTCAGACTCGGACCACTACTCGTCATTAGTGCTGCCACATTAGAAAAATCAGTGGAAAACGTCAGGAAATAATTATGTACAACTAATTAGAATGTTAATATTTTATTTGACTGTTCTATTTTTGCATTAGATGGAGATAAGCATCATCTAAAGGATTGTTTCAAAAAAAGCAACACATTACAAACATGCAGTTCTTTAATTAAACCTGTCTTAAATATAATACATATACAATGATATTGCTCGCAGGTAGGCCAATTCCATCACCAACGCAAGAGTTAATTTTAAAAAGAAAAGAAAAGAAAAACATGTCACACTCAGTGTTTTCAATTCATAAGAATTCTGAGCATTTCTTCTGAACAGAGAGATGCTATCTGGTACAGCACGTCACAATCCTTAAAAATTGTGAATGAAAAAAAACTTCATATTGTTTAAATGTATCTTAAAAGTCACAAAAATACTCTACATTACAGGCTTTCTTTTTAGTTTCTTATCTGTACAGATCATGCATATAAATATGTAAAAATAGTACATGTATTTCTAATAGTATCTAAAATAAACAAAATTCCATAACAACAACCGAAAACTACAGAGACAAACCAGGCATCGAAAAAACCAAAGCAATATTACCAAAATACTGTAATTCTACAGCATAAATGTCATGCAAGACTGCACAAGAAAATCATAAGAAAATGTAATGTTTTTTTAAATATCTTTGCATCTGTCTATGTTCTACAGATTTGTGCCTATGTTGTTTTTTTATCTACAATTAAATATTTGTGTGTAAATATCATGTGATCTTTACAAATATATCAATTTAAAGTGTCATACAGAATGGCAAGTTACAAAACATGAAAATAATGTCTAAAATAAATAATATTCTTTTTGTAGCAACATTTTCATTATGTATAAGTTGCAAAATCTGGAGAAAATATGTTTGCTTTCTTTACTTTAAATAGAATAAAACCTGCAAGACTGAAACAATTGGCACATACAAATATGTGGGCCTAATTATTATTCCACTTCCGATTATATGTCACAGTTCTTTAACTGAGATTCTTACTGTTTCGAACTGGTACCTTTTGTTTCTGTATACTTTGTCGTCTTAGTCACTACGGTAAGAGTTCCCTCTGTTTTAGTAATCAGATGCTCGGAGGGCATTTCATGGGTCAAAAATTCTACGCTTGGTATCTTCACATAGAAACCTCCAGAGGCTTCCTCGATAGAACAAGGAAGAGAGGACTTGCTTCCTTTTGGAGAACTTTCTGGTGTGATATGAAGGATGTCAGTAGAATGGGGACTAAGGGTGACCTTGGGTATTTTGAACCATGTTGTCTCCTCTCTTTCTTCACATTTCATAACAGAGACGAATCCAGATGATACTGTGGGTACTGGAGACTCTGATCCCTCCCGTTCTGCCAACATTTCAGTCCTTGCTTTTGAGGATACTATAGTACTAATCTTTCTCACCTCCTCATCCTTCTCTGTTTTCTTCTTGAGACCTGGGAAAGACATTGTGCCTGATATTGTCTTTGACTCCTTGCTCTCTTTGCTTTCTCCTGAGCTCTCCTTCCTGAGTTTCATGCTTGTTTCCAATTCCTCTTCCTCACTTGCATCTTTTGAGTATGGTGAGAAAAACTCCACTTTAGGCAATTTAAGCTTTCCAAACATTGGTTTTTCATCTTTGTCACCATTTAGACTTGGACTTGTTCCATCATCAGACCCACTTGGTGTTACATCAAATGATCCTCTCTGCCCAGACGAAAATGTGACTTTGGGCAATTTAAGCTTACCAGTTTCCACCTCATCTTCGCAATATATTGCTTTCCCCTTTCCATTTGATCGAGACTTGCCAAAACTCGGCTTCATTTTGATCTTTGGCTGTTTGATCTTCACATCTTCAATTTCTGCACTTGCTTCACCAGTTAAACTAGCAGAGCTCCCCGTTTGTGGATTCACCATAACAAATACAGCTTTTGTTACTTTTGGCAGACGTGGGCTTTCATACTCTACCTTGGAGTCCATGTTTATAGAGTGACCTTTTCCCTGAGATGATTTGATGTTGGCTTCAGGTGAACTTAAAGAAGGCAGAGGAATCCCAAACTTTGGAATTTTGACTTTACCAGTGTGCTTTTTATCTTCATCAGAATTATTAGTGTCAGCTTGGGCAGTCTCAATGTCAAAGTCAAGTTCGGGAATCTTTGGTGCTTGTAAATCAGCTTTCAAGTTTGCATCAGTTCCTCCTTTTAGAAATTTAGTATCCATTTTTCCAGACTTGTTTATGTCAGTTTCTAATCCAGAAACTTTTACTTTTGGCATTCCAATATTAAATTTTGTACCTTTAACTTTTGGCCCTTTTATTTTTTCTTTCGGTGCGGGTTCCAGACCAGTATCTCGAAGTTCAGATTTCTTTTTATTCTTTTTTTCGTCTCTTGATAAGCCAAGATCCAGCTCTAGATCCACATTAGGCATCCTCGTCTTTTTACCCTCTTTATGTGAATCCTTAAGGCTTGCATCAGTAGAAGGATCTGACATGTCTGCATCTCTAGCCATTCCTATATCTAGTTTTGGGATTTTAACATTTGGCATTGTCAATTTTCCACCCCCTCCTCCAGATTCTCCCTCTTTGGTATCAAACTCTCCAGTTCTACTTTCTGGTAATGATATGTCTACCTGTGGTATCTTAATATCAGGTATTTTACATTGTCCACCTTTTACTTCCACAGATCCCCTAATCCCAGGGATCATGACTTTACCTTTTCCTACATCAGGTTGAAGTTCTGAAACAACATCTTTAGATTTTATTTTAGGAAGGGGTATATCAATTTTTGGCGTCTTTAATTTTCCACCTTCTAGTTCTGAATCAAGTGCGTGACATTCTTCTTTCCTTCCATGAGGTAGTGAAAAATCTATCTTAGGCACTATAATGTCTGGCATTTTTAATTTACTCCCATTCACTCCAAATTCTATATCAGGATCATCATTTTCCTTTCCATGAGGCAATGATATATCAACACTAGGCACTGACATTTTTGGTATTTTTAGCTTTTCACCTTTAATTTCAGTGTCAGTGTAAGGTGTGTCACGTTTTACATGTGGTAATGATATTTCCACTTCTGGCATTCTTAATTTACCCTTCCTTCCAACCTCCACCTCATGGTTATCTGTGCCACCCGTTTTTGCATGAGGAAGTGAAATGTCTACTTTAGGGATCTTGACATGGGGAAAATTTACTGTACCCCTACTACCATCAATGTTTAAGTCAGAAGAGTCCACTGGTTCATGAAGTTTCACCCTAGGCAAGGAAACATCCAAATCAACTTTTGGAACTGATATGTTAATTTTTGACTTCTTAGGAATTTTTAAACTGCCCTCATAACCTCTGATATCTGCCTCAGATACATCAACCTCAGTTTTAGGAAGCAATACCTCACATTCTGGAATATTTGCAGTTGGCAATGATATCTCAACTGCTGGCATTCTGACCTTTCCTTTGTTATCCACATATCCAGGCATACCCATTTCTACATCTTTGAGCTTTGCTTTAGGAGTAGGTGTCTTGAATTTGGGGAATTTGAGCTTGGATTTGACCTTATCTTCAAGACCCTCTACTCTGAATTCTGGTTTCGTAATTTCTTCAGCACCTGCTTTTATCTTAATTTCAGTGTCAGGACCAATTATTTCAATGTCCTTTTTAGATGGTGATGTTCTTTCCATTTCCAAATCTATAGATAAGTCAGGACTCTCCAGTTCTAGTTTGTCACCACTTTTCAGTTTTCTGCCAAATTTAGGAAGTGAAATTTTGGGCATTTTTACATAGACCTCTGGAACATCAAAACTTGCCCCAGATGACGGCCTTCCACCCTCTGCCTTAAGAAGTTCAATGTTTTCTCTATCACTGCCCTTTCCCTTGGGAAGAGTAAAGTCCAGGTCAACTTTAGGAGCAGATATGTCAACAGTTGGTATTTTCACACTTGGCAGCTTGATGTTCCCACCAAAAGTTACTTCAGGTACATTTAAATCACTAATTTTGTCTTTGGTCTCTATATCAGAATCATGAGTCAATGATTCTATGTCTATGTCTTCCTTCTCTGACCCAACTTTTAGTTCACGATCTGTTAGTTTCATTTTAGGGACAGAGATATCAACAGTGGGCATGTGAAATCTTAAACCTTTTTTAGTATCATCTCCCAGTTTAAGCCCTCCCTCTGCGGTTCCTGGCAGGGAGATATCTATAGAGGGCATGTGAATCTTTCCACCCTTGATATCAGGGCCTTCAACATTGATTTCTCCTGCTGATGGTTTTAATTTAGGCAAGGAAACATCTAATTTAGGCATTTCAAATTTTCTTCCTTTTCCTGCAGGTCCTTCAACATCTACATCTCCTCCTGCTCCTCCTCCTGGCAGAGAGATATCAATAGAGGGCATGTGAAACTTTCCACCCTTGATATCGGAACCTTCAATGTACATTTCACCTTCTGATGGTTTTAATTTAGGCAAAGAAACATCCAATTTTGGCATTTCAAATGTTCTTCCTTTTCCAGCATGTCCTTCAACATCTACATCTTCTCCTGGCAGAGAGATATCTATAGAGGGCATGTGAAACTTTCCACCCTTGATATTGGGACCTTCAACATTGATTTCTCCTGCTGATGGTTTTAATTTAGGCAAGAAAACATCAAATTTAGGCATTTCAAATGTTCTTCCTTTTCCTGCATGCCCTTCAACATCTACATCTCCTCCTGCTCCTCCTCCTGGCAGAGAGAAATCTATAGAGGGCATGTGAAACTTTCCACCCTTGATATCTGGGCCATCAACATTTATCTCTCCTGCTGATGGTTTTAATTTAGGCAAGGAAACATCTAATTTAGGCATTTCAAATGTTCTTCCTTTTCCTGCATGTCCCTCAACATCTACATTTCCTCCTACTCCTCCTCCTGGCAGAGAGATATCAATAGAAGGCATGTGAAACTTTCCACTCTTGATATCGGGACCTTCAATGTCCATTTCACCTCCTGATGGTTTTAATTTAGGCAAGGAAACATCTAATTTAGGCATTTCAAATGTTCTTCCTTTTCCTGCAGGTCCCTCAACATCTACATCTCCTCCTGCTCCTCCTCCAGGCAGAGAGATATCAATAGAGGGCATGTGAAACTTTCCACCCTTGATATCGGGACCTTCAATGTCCATTTCACCTCCTGATGGTTTTAATTTAGGCAAGGAAACATCTAATTTAGGCAATTCAAATGTTCTTCCTTTTCCTGCAGGTCCTTCAACATCTGCATCACCTCTTGCTCTTCCTCCAGGTAGAGAGATATCTATAGAGGGCATGTGAAACTTTCCACCCTTGATATCAGGACCTTCAATGTCCTTTTCACCTCCTGATGGTTTTAATTTAGGCAAGGAAACATCAAATTTAGGCGTTTCAAATTTTCTTCCCTTTCCTGCATGTCCTTCAACATCAACATCTCCTCCTGCTCCTCCTCCTGGCAGAGAGATATCAATAGAAGGCAAGTGAAACTTTCCACCCTTGATATCGGGACCTTTAATGTCCATTTCACCTCCTGATGGGTTTATTTTAGGAGAGGAAATATGAAATTTAGGCATTTCAAATTTTCTTCCTTTTCCTGCATGTCCCTCAACATCTACATCTCCTCCTGCTCCTCCTCCTCCTCCAGGCAGAGAGATATCAATAGAGGGCATGTGAAACTTTCCACCCTTCATATCGGGACCTTCAACATTGATTCCACCTCCTGATGGTTTTAATTTAGGCAAGGAAACATCTAATTTAGGCATTTCAAATTTTCTTCCTTTTCCTGCATGTCCCTCAACATCTACATCTCCTCCTGCTCCTCCTCCTCCTCCAGGCAGAGAGATATCAATAGAGGGCATGTGAAACTTTCCACCCTTCATATCGGGACCTTCAACATTGATTCCACCTCCTGATGGTTTTAATTTAGGCAAGGAAACATCTAATTTAGGCATTTCAAATTTTCTTCCCTTTCCTGCATGTCCTTCAACATCTACATCTCCTCCTGCTCCTCCTCCTAGCAGAGAGATATCAATAGTGGGCATGTGAAACTTTCCACCCTTCTTATCGGGACCTTCAACATTGTTTTCTCCTGCTGATGGTTTTAATTTAGGCAAGGAAACATCTAATTTAGGCATTTCAAATTTTCTTCCTTTTCCTGCATGTCCCTCAACATCTACATCTCCTCCTGCTCCTCCTCCTCCTCCAGGCAGAGAGATATCAATAGAGGGCATGTGAAACTTTCCACCCTTCATATCGGGACCTTCAACATTGATTCCACCTCCTGATGGTTTTAATTTAGGCAAGGAAACATCCAATTTAGGCATTTCAAATGTTCTTCCATTTCCACCATGTCCTTTAACATCTGCATCTCCTCCTACTCCTCCAGACAGAGAGATATCAATTGAGGGCATATGCAACTTTCCACCCTTGATTTCGGGACCTTCAATGTCCATTTCACGTCTTGATGGTTTTAATTTAGGCAAGGAAACATCCAATTTAGGCATTTCAAATTTTCTTTGTTTTCCTGCAGGTCTTTCAACATCTACATCTCCTCCTCCTGCTCCTCCTCCTGGCAGAGAAATATCAATAGAGGGCATGTGAAACTTTCCACCCTTGATATCGGGACCTTCAACATTGATTTCTTTTGCTGATGGTTTTAATTTAGGCAAGGAAACATCTAATTTAGGCATTTGAAATTTTCTTCCTTTTCCTGCATGTCCTTCAACATCTACATATCCTCCTGCTCCTCCTCCAGGCAGAGAGATATCAATAGAGGGCATGTGAAACTTTCCACCCTTGATATCGGGACCTTCAACATTGATTTCTTTTGCTGATGGTTTTAATTTAGGCAAGGAAACATCTAATTTAGGCATTTGAAATTTTCTTCCTTTTCCTGCATGTCCTTCAACATCTACATATCCTCCTGCTCCTCCTCCAGGCAGAGAGATATCAATAGAGGGCATGTGAAACTTTCCACCCTTGATATCGGGACCTTCAACATTGATTTCTTTTGCTGATGGTTTTAATTTAGGCAAGGAAACATCTAATTTAGGCATTTGAAATTTTCTTCCTTTTCCTGCATGTCCTTCAACATCTACATATCCTCCTGCTCCTCCTCCAGGCAGAGAGATATCAATAGAGGGCATGTGAAACTTTCCACCCTTGATATCGGGACCTTCAATGTCCATTTCAGCTCCTGATGGTTTTAATTTAGGCAAGGAAA